ACAGTGACATTCAGCTTTTGTTTCGGCCGTTTCAAAAACTAATTATAACACGCTCCCTAGAAGGCATTCAGTAAAACAGTTAAAGGAAGAGGTCTCAGTACTTGAATCCATTTTTTGGTACTGTCTGACCTGCCCTTCCAGGATTTGGCTAGAATCATTAAAAAGTGATACATGAAACTTTCCTTTTGGGAGATGGAAGGCTTTAGCGATCAGCAAAGATGACTCACCCAGCAGTGCAAGTGCTGAAGCGTGCATTTATTTTGGTGGTGAAAATAGGAAGAGGGGAAAGAAATCTCAAGGAGAGTGCAACCGAAGGCAAAGATCCTCGGCATCAAAATTAAAGCAACGGTGTGCAAAAACAAAAGTGCTCTTAGATCATGCACAGAGCTGGGAGATGTTCGTGAGCAGGAGCCTGGACTCAGCTGCACGGCTTTGTCCAGCAGAAGGGCTCATGTATCACTTTAATTTCATCCCACCCACATTACATAGACGTTTTCTCCTCCAAAAAGAACTCATTTGAGAGAAGAGCACATTTTAGCCAGCAGACGAGTGGAAAGCCAGGCACTGCTGATCAGCCAGTTTCCCTTTCACAGGACTTTTCCCTCCCTTCCTTATCCTATAATTGTTCATAAAAACAAAGACATATTTTCATTTAGCAAAATACCCATTGCCAGCCTTAGACTGGAGTGAGGAGGTTATTGCTGTGTCCAGCTAACCTCTTGCAGCAAAGAAAGAAATTGCAAACACGGCCTTTATTCTGTGCATTTCCTGGAGGAAACGAGACCTAACAGGAATTCAGATAAGAAAACTAATGCTGTTGCTGTACTTCGTATTCTATGAAGTATATTAATGGGGATAACAATACACATTAGACATCCTATTCAGTAACATTTTTAGTACCCAGCTGAGTCCAAATATAAACTATAATGGCATATGGAGACTGTCTTAAGAGCCATTTCAAATCAATTTAGTTTTATATAGTGTCTCGCAAAGTATCTCAAGGTGATTTACAGTGAAAAAGAAAATAATGGACTAGTGATTTAGTAGAGTAAGGCACAGCAGCTGTCAGGCAGGAAGGCAAAAACGCTGCACGGAGATGCAAAACTCTGATTTAAAAGCAGTACAAAGGCAAACATATCTCTTCACTCTTCCAGTACGAGAAGCAGCCAGGTAATGAAGCCAGGCTGGGTTCAGTTTAACTCAACTGTTCCATGAAGCACTGAGGGCTTTTCCATTTACAGACAAAACTGGAACCAAGAACTGAAACATTCCCACTCAACTGTTGAGATTAGGAAAAGCCAGGAAAGAAATATTTGTGACCAATTCATTTTAGCAGTTTTACCATCATATTTCACAACCTCAGAAATTGTAGACTTCCTGTGGGTTGGACTTTTGCCCTACAGGCTTATTAAGTCAAGAAGACAGCTTGAAGTGCCTTTTTTCATGGAAACTGTTAAAGCCTCTCTTGAAGGAGCAAGACTCTAGTCAAGAAACCTCGATCTTGCCAACGAGTATGGCCAACACTGCATTGCTCCTGTTAAGCAAAGGCACCCTGCAGGTGGAGCTCCCTTCAGATCACAGTACTGGAGTGGCACGTATCTGGTTGGGTCTCTTCCTCTTAAAGGTCAAGGTGCCTCATGTCTGGTTGGGTCTGTTGGATATGAATGTTTCAACAAACTTCAGGCAAGCAAGAGGGAGTACTAATGTCTTCCTAGGCAAGAGCCTGAGTTCACAGAACCATAGAACAGCCCAAGCTGGAAGGGACCTCAAAAGATCATCTGGTCCAATCTTTTCTCAGAAAGGAGCCTAGATGAGATTATCTTGTACTCTGCCCAATCGCATCTTGAAAACCTCCAGTGATGGGGACTCTACCACGTCCCTTGGGAGGTTGTTCCTATGTGCCACTTCTCAGAAAGGCTTAAATAAGCCATTTTCCCTTCCAGGTGCCAAGACACATTCAAAATTTGTCATCACTGTTGTCTGTAGGCCTGGGAGACAGCGGAAGCCTGACCTGCTCATGCTGTTCCTGGCATCAGCAGCAACAAAGTCTGCGAGACTTCTTCTCAATTCCCCAGCGAGCACATAGGGGCTGTTGAGGATATTAAAGCTGTGAGGAGCCTGAATCATGACTACTTGAAAAAGTGCCTGCCCCCTCAACCACCGTGGCAAGTGCTGAGCTCATTTAGCGGCCTTGGGGCTGATGCTGAATGTTCTCACACAGAGCTCTCCACGTGGGAATTCACTGCTTCCACACGTCGGAGGTGAGGATCATCTTGCAGACAGTGGCTGTGTGAGTCACATGAGGATGGAAGTCCTGGTGTGATGTTTCTTCATCTGGGGAGGTGTTTTCCTTTCTGCTGTGCAAGTAGTATATGTTTTATCAAATAAAGTGCATGTTTCCCATGCAAATGAACGCACTGCAGAATAATGATATACTGACACATTGTATGTTAAATATGTATGACACTTAGAAATCTAAGAAAGAACTAAAAATCATTTATAAATATTAAAGAGCATGAAGTCTACTTTTTGCTTTCAATTTGCTTCTGATCCTGCACTCTGGGAAAAATACTCCTTACATTATAAGACTGAGTTATCTGTCCAAGAACTAAGCCTATGATTTTACTCTATCAGTCAAGCTGTATGTCACACTATTTTTATATCAAGACAATCAGGTTCTTTAAAGCACAGACACACACCTACTTAAAAGCAGCATTCCTCTGAAAGCAGAATACTTTGGAATTAGTGGCAATTTGTATCTTTTAAGGGACTGATCACTAAATGGAGAAATGCAGCTCCTAATGAAAGGAAGGTTTCCTTGCTGGCCAGGTTGATATTCCATTAGGACATCTGGGTCCAGATTCATCCCTCTTGACTGCAAGCATCCAACCTGGCTTCAAATCACTGATGTCTAATGGCTTAAAATCTGTCCTTTGGAGATTCTTATTTGTCTTTCTCGATAAGAAAGGAGAGTTGGCCATCTGAACTCCTAATCTGAGCACCTAAGTCAGGTATCAGAGAGAAACAAAATTAATCCAAGCCTTGCTCTAGTTTTTTAAGCATTTGTTGCATGGGATACCTGTTAGAGAATGTAGTATTCAACCTATTGCTATGGCACAGTCAATCTCACCTCTAGGAAGCATTTTCTGCTGCACACGGCTTAATCGTCCCTTTGGGAAGAAGCAGAAGTTTCCCATTAAGAAAAAAAAATGCAGCGAGACCAATGCAGACATTAAAGCACCACCACCAGGGAGGCAGTTTTAGATTACAAGTGAAGGAGCACAACTTTGTGTTTCCTTCTGCCCAAAGATGTTGAAGTAACTTGCAAATACCAAAAAGGTTGCAGAACAGAAATATCCTGTAAATATCCTGTGCCCATTTTACATACGGAGAAACCAGGTACATGGGTCAAATGTGAAGTGCAGAGCACAGCAGAGAATGGAAACTCCAGCTCTGCAGTCCCAGTAACTTCCCTTCCTGTAACACCACTGCTTTTTCTTGATGAAGAAGTGACTGCTCTCAGATTGGTCTTCATTGCACATTCACTCACCTCACTGAACTATCCCATGTGCTTCTGCTGCACTACAGGGCTGCTGGCAAATGGACAAGGATGGCAGAAATGCCATGGGATGGCAGGGAAGGGATTTGGAGTCTGGAAACCTGCACCAAGACCTGCACCAAACCTGCTGAAATGAAGCAGTACTATGCTTCTCTCACTTTACTAGCCCTGCTATCAGCAAAATGCCTTTCTCCATTTCCAGATAAGAAGTAGAGCAGTGGGAAATATTTTCCCTCAGTATTTGTCCCTTGTTCCTCTGTTGACAGCAAATTTAAGACAAATGGTCATTTTGGTGGATATAAAAAGCAGTGGAAGTTTGTACCCCTAATGAATGGGCAGCAGGAACTCATACTGGCAGAGCTAAATGACTGCACATGAAACTAGCCAGGCTCAGTAAATGAAACCAGATCCCAAAATGTAGCCTGAGATAACTGAAAGTACGCATTGAAGTTTATTGTAGGAAAATGGCTGACTGGGAAAAAAAAAAAGGTCTGCTCTGCCCCTTCACCTCCAAAACACATTGTACCATTTAAATGCTTCAGAAAGACATCTGCCAAAAATGCAATTAATTCCTCTGAAGGTCAAATGTACTTCTCTTGTAAAACAGTAGAAGCAGCAGTTGTACATCTTGATTACTCTGCTGGGTTAAACCATGACACTCTTACAAAAGTAACTTAGGAAGAATCCTAGGATTGTCCTTGTGTTTGAAGTCGGATGTTTATCCCTTACTGTCAGTGACTTTTGTTGCAAAGGTTAACCGCAGTCAGCGAATGACCAAAACCCCACCAAAAAGGGTCAGTCCCAATGCAGCCTGTCCGAAATCCCACAGCAGGTCTGTAGTCCTGTTTGGAGTGCCACCCCGTGGACACAGCTGCCCCCAGGAGCTCCTCTCCTTCCACAGCCCCAACGCTGGAAACAAGGGGCAATAGCACCTCTCAGCTCCAAACCACGCTGCCCCACATCAGCCTTGCATGATCCTGGCTACCCTGGGGTAAGGAGTGGGAATTTTTGTACCAAAATATAGCGTCTGCTACCAAAGACCATTTTTGCCGGTGCTTTCTACACAGCAATATATGAAATGGCACCACCTCTTTTGAGCTGGATAGGAAATAATTGTGGCATCTGTTGGCACCTGCTGAGGGCTCTTGCATTACAGCCCAGATGCCGAGCTTTGCACACCGAGAAGAGACCGGAGAAGCCCCTGCTCATCCACAGATGAACTGAGCCCTGGTAAACTCAAGTTCATCCTTAGAAGTCAAACACTGGATTAGATTATAATTCTTTTTCTCTCTGGCTATTTGTGTAAGACTTGCAGGTTTATTCACTGGAGATTGCCACCATAAATTTTAGGACTCTGGTTTACAAAGCCTATAACAACCTTGTTTAGCAAAGGTGTGCCTTGCAGCATTCCTTCAGTAATGCCACTTTGGCTGCCCCTTACCTCTGGGGTGAGGTATTTCATCATGATTTCCTTTCCTTTCTCTCCAAGCTTTTCATCTGGAGCAATTTCATATTCTGCCTGGAACAGATATAAAGAAAAAGTCAATATTTGCACTCATATTTCACCATTATAACATCATTTTGGATGTGGCCTTAACGGAACGCTCTGTCTGAAAAATCTGAAGGATAAATACCATTTTCTGATGGAAGTAAAATCCGTACACACAATCCTGTTAAAAACCTCCCACTGCATTTTGACCGAACCCTAGTGGTGCATTTCCTGAGACGATGTCTCTTAATTAACACTAATAAAATTTAATTGATTTATGTTTCACAGCCTTACCAAGCCAGCCTTCAGAAAGTGTTCAGTGACTACAGACAGCAACTTTATTTGGTTTTGCTCAAAGGGAAGGCGAACACAGAAGGTAAAATTATATCTCTGAGTAGTAGAGAAAGTGACTGTTTGTCAATTCTAGCCACAGTGGTAATTCAAGCACCAGCTGAACTACTTCAGTCTTTTTGGATGTGTCTTTCCTATTTATTTACATCTTCCCCTTGGTCAAACACTACTTTTGCAAAGCAGAGAGACTTGCCCATCACTTTTAGTGATCCTTGACTCAGTCCCTCCAGAAGGAAGATCTAAGAGACGATTTCTCAGGTGGATTTCTTAGGACCAAGATAAAACAAGAGAGGCCATTTAGAAGAATAGATAGCACAGGCAAAATTCTCTTTGACTTTTCTGGTGCCTCTAAAGAGAGCACCACATTCCCCCATGCAAAGTTTACCTACGTTTTAAAATTCTGACTATTCTACGTCCTGTAGCATTACTGACTTTTGATGAGTTTCAGGACAACATTTACATAAGAAACAAAGGAAGCATTACTTGTGCACCATGAAGACATTAATTCAGTTAAAGTTTTTGATCCATGGCGGGCATTCGAAGGAAACACGCACCACTTGGGACTCCAGTGGCTTCATGACAACGACAAGTTCTTAGAGACATTCTCCCTTGGCACTGCCCAGGATACAAAGCTTTAGCCTTAGTAGCAAAATATTTTCCAGAAAATTAAAAAAAGAAGAAGACAGTCTAACAGTTTTCATGACTGCTCATATTAGAAAAAAGAGCCCAGAAAACCCTGCCAACCCAATTAAGTAACCTGGTCCAATACAAACTGTCTGCGATGATAAATGGGGAGGAAGTTTTAAAAAAAAAAAAGTAAATCAGACTGAACTGGCAAAGACTTGGAAGAACAAATTTCAGAACCATTGCCTGCTGGAAGATGTATGCGGTGCTCCGAGTTGATGCAATAAATCCAAAGGCGGGCTGTAATGGATACCCTGGCTAAGCAGACCCAGGAATGACATGAAACCACAATGTAGTAATAATGCTATTACCCATCTCTCTGGCCACTGCTGATTTAGCTATTGCAGCTTAAGTCTGCTGCTACATATTTATACACATACATAGCAGGTTGCTTTAACAATCTAGAATTACGACTTGATTTGGTTTGGGAAATGACAATGACCGTAAATAACAGAGAAACCTGCATTGATAGTGAAAAATGCACCAAAAGCTAAAATCCACAAGTGCAATACTTCTCTTTTAGTGACCATTTTGGGGATGAGCTGATTATGTTCTCATAAAACTTAATACATGGCTTTAAAAAAATCTTTCATCCAATTTCCTGTCCTTTTAGATGGTATCTGAGTATGGGTCATCACAGCTCTTAAAGCACAGATGCTCTCAAATGTTTACAGCATCTTAACAGCATTTTTCTCCATGATTCCTTGCTAGGGGGTAAAGCTATGACAAGAGTAACAGAAGAAACAATTTATTTAGAAGTCAAAGTTGCATCTTATTTGGACCTTACAGTTTATGGTTAGGTTCAAAGAAAAACTATGTGTTTTCAATATAAAAGAAAACAGAAACAATGCATTTTAATAAAAGCAAATAATTGTACTTAGATGTAACTCTGTGCAGAAGACTGCAAAGAAAGGAGAACTCCTTGGCATTGCCTTGGCTTGGAAGCATCTTGGAGATCTTCTGAGTCCTCTGTTCAATGCTATTTACAATTTATCCAATAGTGACCATTTCTTTCTCCTTCATTTGCCTTTAGACTCTGGATCCTGGTAATATATTGGCTCCCTAGTAAATAAAACCTGATTCAAAGTCATCATCTGCCATTTGAAGTGCACCAGGGAGATGTCAAAAAATCTGATGTTCTTTATGCCCCAGATACCCTATTACATCTACATCCCATCTGAACGGTACAACAGGAAGCAAACCAGGGCAGATCAGAAGAACAGAGAAGTTTAGCAGGGTTTCGAAATGCAATTCCTGATGGGATCCAACATATGCAGAGCTAAACGCACACACACACATAAAGAATATCTAATTCTGTCTCCAGATAGTTGGGCAGGAATAAAAGGAAAATTTAATTACACTTGCATTTGACATTCTCAGAAAATGCGACACTGTGGTGGTGAAGGTAGGAAGTGACAGACGAGCAGGGATGTGAGGAGGAACCATAAGCTCCAACTGTGAACAGTGTTGATTTCACTGTAGCTCAAGTACTAAGAGCTTGTTTCATTTTGTTTCTAAGTTCATTATTATTTCTCCCTTCAGTGCCACTTTCGAGCTATTCAGCAACAGATACTGTTACATTTTCAGCCATGGACTGTTGTTATGGGAAGAATTACCCATGTAGAGAGACACTGACTTCCCCATGCTCTGCCACATGCCTGCAAAGCATACCAAGGTCCTCAACTCTCAATCTTGTACTTAAATCACAAGATACATCCCCTTATTCCACAAAACTCACAAGCACAGCTACAGTTTGCAAATCCCTAATTGCTAGAAATAACATCATTACTTAAAATCCATGTGGAACAAAATATTTTCCATTATTCCTTTGATGAATCCAGGCATGTGTTTCAAGGCTTCTGCTCTGAAGTCTAATAGCTTCTCCATGCCCTAGTTAGGTCAGACAGGGCCCTATTCATAGCTCATAAATGAGGGGAGGATTTACGATCACCCTGACTGCATGGGACAGGCTGCAGGGAAGGCTCTTTCTGCGGGCAGGCGCAGATCCTTCAGTCCAAATGGCGAGAGGATGTGGGCTGGCCGCCGTTGGTTGCTAACTTTTATTTTGGCTGCTGTTTTGGAGGTAGTAGCTACTTTGGTGGCTGCTGCTTCCCTAGAAGCAACCCTGTCTGAATGAGGGCAAAGGGGTGTGAAGCGCCCTTCCCTCTGGAGCAGCCGCCCTCGGGACGGGCTGAGTGAGATAGGATGGGAAAACGCACTTCCACTGGGAAAGGGGGCAATGTCTGGCTGCGGGATGGGGCCATGGGCTCAGGACGGCCATGAAAGAGGTTCAGAGGCTGGAGGGTGCCTGTGACTGATGGAGAGCACTGCTGGGACAACCTCAATTCTGATGCATCATTTTATCTAGCGTTTGATTTTTGTCTCCATATTCTTTGAGCTCCTGAAACTGGCTTAAAAATATGTGAAAATTGAAAAATGGAGCCAAAGGGTTCTCTCCCAGACACTCCCACCAGAGTGGTTTCGGCTTCTTGCTATAAGTCAGGAGCAGTGGAGTCACCTCCCGAACACCTGCAAGAGGCTACTGGCATTTCAGCCCCAATTTTACACTTTCTCAGCTCCCTCCTTTGTTATCCCCAGCACCTCTCTCTGCTCCAGCCCCTGCTCACTCCTTCCTCTGACTCCAGGCTCTGCCCTGTTCCTGCTCTGTGCTCCAGCGACTGCTCTTGCACTTGCCTCCACTGGAGATTTAAAATCTGTGACTCAAAATTGGAAGGCAAAACCCGAACAGCTGGGATTCATAACAACTCACATTTCTAAATGAAAAGTGAACTTGAAACCACATTTTTCATATTTAAACGCAGGGCAAAAAGAGTCCTTTTGACTGTTTAAAAACACATTCTGAGTTAATGAGTTTGTTGATATCAACAAACTGGCATTTCTGATGGAAAAAGCCTTGAACAGCTTTAAGACACACACACACAGATGGTTTATATACCATGTAAGGGACGTAACCAAACGAAATCCCTCTAACAGTGACACAGGGTTTTTACAAATGGTATTAAATGGGTGCTCATTCATCCTTTTACCCCAGATAAGTGTAATGTTTAGTGAGGCATTCACCTGAAAAGTCTACCCAAGGGGATGATGCCTCTCATCCCTGACCCCATGCCCAGATAGCACAAGCAGAAACAACATGGAGAGACAGCAGGGCTATTTTCCTCCAGAGGATGTATTTCTGTGTGACTTCAGTGCAAAGAAATAACATTGTGAATGTTAGGAAGAAAATAATGCCAGGTTATTTTCTACTTGATGAGAACTAGCCATGTTCTCCTCCAGTCAATCTAAATCTGGTCCACATTAAAATATTAAAAACCCTCCCTATGAAAAAAAAAGAATAATTATAAATGTGAGTAGATGAAGCAGGAAAGGGAATCCAGAAGCTAAAGTCTTTGCTATAGCAGCACACAAAAATCACAGGAGAGGGAAACATCAGAAGCCGGCACCCTGCGAATGTGCTGTTGAGAAAGGCACAGGTCCCCAGTGAATGCTGCCTTCTTGGGCTGGAGGCACAGGCTGCGGGGAAGGAAACGCATCTTGCTAGCAGATCTCTGCTCTCTGATCTGCCTTTCAGCACAGGAAACGTATCCCCTAACGCTTCATTCTGATGGCTGTCTTTCAACAGCTCCAAAGTTGCACGATGTCGCTAAAATATCTGTAAGCACAGCAAAGCGTGCCTTAGGGCTGTACGTGAATTCTTTGTTAAGGGGTTATAGAGGAGCTGATTTAATCATAAACCATCTCCATGTAATGATAATAGTTTATGTTTGCATAGTTCCTTCATCTGAATGGCGACGTAAGGGTTTGGTGAACTATTCATGGGACATCTTTGTGTTTATGTGCACACAGATGCATTCAGTGGCAGCCATTGGTGCTTCTTACTAGATCTTTTATCTCGCCAAGTCAGGACCTCTGTCACGAAATTGCCTGTGCAATATCTGTAATAAGAGATGTCTCTCTGTCCTTACAGCCTTACC